CGAGCACATCACTCGCCCGCGCCGCTTCTCACCGCCCCCATTGGCCCGGGACGGCGAACCGCAGCGAGTGGGGGCCGCGATCGGCCGAACCTGCCGCGTCAGCAGGTAAATAAACTGGCCCGGCCCGCCAGGGTGCTTACCCTGGCGAGCCGCATGCCGAACATTGCCGACCCCTGCTTTAAAGGATCCATAATTTAGCAGGGTGTTGACATAAGCTTTGTCCCTTTCTATACACATAGCGGGGAGAATGCATGTCTCATGGCCAGAGTTCACATACTGGCATTTAAATAGTTATAATCCATCTCTAATTTGTGTCGACCATGAAGTTTTTCTGACCTCCCATCTTGGAGCAAAGCATAAATTGGATCACACAGCTCCACTTAGGTAATGAAAAACTCTACAGCAAATCTGCATCCCTGCTCTCTCTCTCTCTCTTACGGGGAGAGTCCTGGCCAGTTTGAAAGAGCTACAAATGCCTGCTAATATTTGGAAAGAACAGTTCTTGGATGGGAGCATGTGAACAGGTTTGAGAACCTACACAAATAAGATACACAGGGAAGGACGTGAGGTGACTTCAGTGTTTCCGAGTGGGATAGCAGCAGAGTGCGAGGGCTATCTCGTAGATCCACGCAGATTCATGTTCCTGGTTGTATTTAAAATCTTCATCAGCCAAGCTAATCCTTCTGAGACTGAAGTCTGATATGCAGAAGGCTTCGGGGGAGGAAGGAGAGAGAGGAGTGTCTTTGTTTATCTGGAACAGTCTGCTAAATCATTTCAGATCAGATATCTCCTGCTGATGAGTATGTTTGTTTCCTCCTTCAGGATGAAGATGTACAGATAAGAAAACGCATCACCATCCCCAAACAGGAGAGCCGATCCAGCAGTACAGGGGAGCCCAGCTAATCCCTAGGGGAGCCATCAGGACTTGTCTTTCATTTGATCACATAACTGTAGTTTCACTGACAAGAGCCCTTTTTATAAAGAGATTGCCTGGTTGAGATGTTGCAGTTACTCAAACTTCTCAGATCAGGATGGAGGGGCTATTTAACTGTCCTTAATGAAGCACAAGACTTGCCAGTGCACTACCCACATCTCCATGCCCAGTGAGATCTCATGCCATGGAAATTTGCAATGACTTTGCTCCTTTTTCCAGGTGCCATTGTGGGTTGTGAGTCACTGATCTCTCTGGGGTTTGTACGATGAAGGGGTGTGCTGGGAGTTGTCTGTGGTTAGAAGTATGTTCAGATGCTGCTTTGGCTGTCTGCCACCATGGGTTCTGTTTGCTGTTCTGGCCCAGAAGGCTCAAAAAAATGAACATTGCTGGAAAGTATGTGCACTGCCACTGCTGCGAAGGGTAAATACATGAGCATTAGAGTGCAGGGGTGTTTGTCACAGGAGCCAGGCAGCCATGTTGTTAACTCAGCTCTGTATTTATTTTGCAACTGTGTAAGTGGGAGTATTGCTGTGATAGTAGGATAAAGGGTCTCTGTCTGCATTTCGCTTGAAGACTTAATGGGAAATCTAAATGCTACAAGTTAATTACTCTGAATGTTACTCATTTGCTTCAGATGCTGTATAATCAAACCATCTGCAGGAGCATGTAATGATGGTGCATTTAGTTGCTATTTGCCAGGCAGTTACAGAGTAGCTACATAGCTACATAGCTGTAGCGACCTTGTGAAACAAAGTGGTAACTGCTGAAATGAAATGCCTGTACGTGGTTGTCAGTGGGTTACAAGATTTTGTCATTGATCAGTAACTGCTTTGTGGGGTGTGATAAAATACCAGGCAGGTTATGTTGAGTCCATAAGAGTTCATGTTTTAAAGGCCTCAGTGCCGGCATGCAAAACTTGCCCAACTTTTCAGGAGCTCCACAAAGGCTGCAGCCATCTAAAATGGAGCAGTCCAGATTCCATTCCCAGCATGGTACGCTCTGTCACGACCCCAGTGGAAGGTGTTTGAATGCCAAAGATTTTTGGGAATGCACCAGTAGCCCAAAGATCTTAAGTCACTTCTGCTGAGATCAGAACCTTCCAAGGTGACACTTGTACTTTTGAAGACACCCTCAGTTTATAACCACATCTGGAGTCCTTATTATATATGTATTTTAAAATAAAATTGCAGCAGAGAAATCGATGCTTGCTGTTGTCACTTACCAGAAGGCTACAGGAGCTGTGGATGGCTGCACCAATTCAGTACACGTGGTCATTCACCCATGCAGGGCCCTGCAACATCTAGAAAGTTGGGGCAGCATCCAGGATTGTTACGGATCCGGAGGGCAAGTTGCCTTTGAGCTTTGTACTGTCTCTCAAGGAGTTGCATACCTTCTAATGCGAGGTATTAGCCCTCAACGGGTAGTGATCAATGGCTTGATGTCTAGTTGGCAGCCGGTATCAAGCGGAGTGCCTCAGGGGTCGGTCCTAGGGCCGGTTTTGTTCAACATCTTTATTAATGATCTGGATGATGGGATGAATTGCACCCTCAGCAAGTTCGCAATGACACTAAGCTGGAGGGAGAGGTAGATACGCTGGAGGGTAGGGATAGGGTCCAGAGTGACCTAGACAAATTAGAGGATTGGGCCAAAAGAAATCTGATGAGGTTCAACAAGGACAAGTGCAGAGTTCTGCATTTAGGAAGGCAGAATCCCATGCACCGCTACAGGCTCGGGATCGACTGGCTAAACAGCAGTTCTGCAGAAAAGGACCTGGGGATTACAGTGGACAAGAAGCTGGATATGAATCAGCAGTGTGCCCTTGTTGCCAAGAAGGCCAACGGCATATTGGGCTGTATTAGTAGGAGCATTGCCAGCAGATCGAGGGAAGAGATTATTCAGCACTGGTGAGGCCACACCTGGAGTATTGTGTCCAGTTTTGGTCCCCACACTACTGAAGGGATGTGGACAAATTGGAGAAAGTCCAGTGGAGGGCAACGAAAATGATTAGGGGGCTGGGGCACATGACTTATGAGGATTGACTGAGGGAACTGGGGTTATTTAGTCTGCAGAAGAGAAGAGTGAGGGGGGATTTGATAGCAGCCTTCAACTACCTGAAGGGGGGTTCCATAGAGGATGGAGCTAGGCTGTTCTCAGTGGTGGCAGATGACAGAACAAGGAGCAATGGTTTCAAGTTGCAGTCGGGGAGGTCTAGGTTGGATATTAGGAAAAACTATTTCACTAGGAGGGTGGTGAAGCACTGGAATGGGTTACCTAGGGAGGTGGTGGAACCTCCTTCCTTAGAGGTTTTTAAGGGCCTGCTAGACAGAGCCCTGTCTGGGATGATTTAGTTGGTGTTGGTCCTGCTTTGGGCAGGGGATTGGACTAGATGACCTCCTGAGGTCTCTCCCAACCCTAATATTATATGATTCTATTCTATGATTCTAAGCCTAAACTTGTTAATGGTGAAGGGTTAAAATCCATGTGCATTTTATATAATAACCTGGTATATGGATTGTGCCAGTTCTTTTCCCGACCCAAAGTCCAGAGTATGGTCAAGGGACCAGTGGCTTAGCAAATAGTGATTAGCTAAAAGAAGCAAAATAAACAAAAGATAACCTTGCTTTGCCAAAATAAGCCTAGTCAGCAAATTGCCAGGTGTTAGAGCTAAAAACTAAATATGGAGATATACCTATCTCTTAGAACTGGAAGGGACCCCGAAAGGTCATCGAGTCCAGCCCCCTGCCTTCACTAGCAGGACCAAGTACTGATTTTGCCTCAGATCCCTAAGTGGCCCCCTCAAATAATTGTGTCTTATTCAGAGTTGCAGATTAAACAAAGAAGCCCTGTTTCGGTTGTTAGTTTCTTTTGTAGGGAGATGTTCCCACATATCCAACCTTGAGTTTATAAAAGGTTGGCACATGTCAGTATAAGATATGGCATCCTCCCACCTCCCTTTCCCAGGGACCCAATGCCTGCCTTAAAACACAAAGGAGACAATCTTTATTGCCATATACTTTCACTGTTTCTTTGTTTTAACCCCTAGGAATGTATCTGCTGGACAATCAGAAAAGCTACTCCATTCCTATGAATCCCAAATCAGAATTCAACATATATATTTTATACTAATAACATTTTATCAAAGTATTAATTAAATGTTAACTTGCTAACTTGAGACCATGGGCGGAGACATTATGTAACCTGTTAACCATTGGCTAATGTGCTATCTTGTCTTTCACCTAGACCTATCCCGGGGTGTGAAACTGCCTACCCCGTCACTTTCCCCCGCCCATGAAAAATCCATATATTCCATTGTAATCAATTGATTGACAGTGTCTCTGAGCCTAATAAGCAAGGTAACACTCCACCAGCGCTGTGTGTAATAAACTCCTATGCTTAACCTCTACACGGTGTGAATTTATGTCCTTCAAATGGCCATTTTATATCCATTTGTTCTTGTGTCCACATTAGTGCTTATCTTAAATAACTCCTCTCCCTATCTGTATTTATCCCTCTGATGTATTTATAGAAAGCAATCATGTCTCCTCTTAGCCATCTTTTGGTGAAGCTAAACAAGCAAAGCTCTTTGAGTCTCCTCTCGCAAGGTAGATTTTCCATTCCTCGGATCATCCAAGTCGCCCTTCTCTGCACCTGTTCCAGTTTTGAAATCATCTTGCTTAAACATCGGAGACTAGAACTGCACACAGTATTCCAGATGAGGTCTCACCAGTGCCTTGTATAATGGTACTAACACATCCCTGTCTCTACTGGAAATACCTCACCTCATGCATCCTACTAGGACTGCACTAGTCTTTTTCACGGCCACATCACATCTCCAGATCTTGTATGATATTCCAGTTCTCCTCCGTATTGGCAATACCTCCCAACTTTGTGTCATCTGCAAATTTTATTAGCACACTCCCACTTTTTTGTGTCAAGGCAATTAATAAAAATGTGAAATAAGATTGGGCCAAAGACCAATCCCTGAGAAATTCCATTAGTAATCTCCCTCCAGCCTGACAGTTCACCTTTCGGTATGATCCGCTGTAGTCTCCCCTTTTACCAGTTCCATATCCACCTTTCAATTCTCATATTAATCCCCATCGTCTCCATTTTAACTAATAATTTCCCAAGTGAAACTGTATCAAATGCCTTACTGAAATCCAGGTAGATTAGATCTACTGCATTTCCTTTGTCTAAAAGATCAGTTCTCTTCTCAAAGAAGGAGATCAGGTTGGTCTGGCATGATCTACCTTTTGTATAACCATGTTGTATTTTGTTCCATTTACTGTTCACCTCTGTCTTTTAACTAACAGGCCTGTAGTTTCCCGGATCACTTCTTTTCCCTTTCTTGAAAATAGGAACTATATTAGCAATTCTCCAGTCATAAGGTACGACCCCTGAGTTTACAGATTCATTAAAAATCCTTGCTATTGGCTTGCAATTTCATGTGCCTTCTCTCCTAAACTTCTGTCAGAACAAAAAAACCACACATACCACACACATCCTCCCCCAAACTCCCTCTCAAGCTCCCCTGTTTTCAGCTCTGTTTGCTAGTCCTTTGTTGCTCCTCCTTACCGCTGTCTGGCCAGCTGGCTCCCTTCATAAACCTGCTGCCTAGGAAGCCTTGTTCCCAGTCAAGTTTCAGCTGTGATCTAAGCCCTGCTTCTCACAACCCACTGCTCCCTACCAGATGTTGCAAACTGAACTCAAACACACACACTTCCAAGAGCTCACTCGCTGCCCCTAATGGTCTTGCCTGCCTTCTTCTCCAACAGATTCCAACCCAAACTCCTCTGAGTTCAGCTCTGTTTGCTGGCTCCTGTGCCTCTGCTCCTGGCTGCCAGTCATTAAAAGTTACTGTCTGGTCATTGGGCTTCCATTGCATCTCCAAGGTCTTTCCATTCATGTGTGGGCAGTTCTTGGCTCATTCTTCCCAACTCAGAGACCTACACGACCAACTACCCGCTATTATGCCCGTCCCAGAGAAGAAATTAACCCATTCAGTCCTACTAGGTCACAATGCAAAAATGATTGTGAAAATTAGGTTATCTATATTTTTCATTAAAATAATGCAGATATTTCCCACATTCTCCACAAAGTTTCACCTGGATGCTCTTTCTTTTTGCCTCATGTTTGCTGTTGTCAACAGCTCCAGTTGACTAGAGAATAAAGCTAGTAAGTTCTTCTTCATGTGGACCCTTCTGAACAGGAGCTGTGGGAGCTCAGGTTGCAGTAGGTGCAGCAATCAGTTCTGTGAGTGGGTCATTCAAGCAACATGTTAATAGTACTTCTGAGAAATATCTCACAACAGGCAGTGCTGACTGTCCACTGACTGAACCCCATAACCATCCGGAGGTTGACTCCAGGACTAGCCACAGCAGTCAGTGTCTCCATGGCTCTGGTGAAAATAGTTAGGGTATCTGCTGGGACTCTTGTAGTTGTGAGTTGTTTTGGGGTTAACTCACTTTGTGTGTTCATTTTAAATGTTCCCACGTATACATCTGTGACACTTCACCAGTTGCACCCTGGCAGTTTTCATTCTATTTAAACATCCCATATCACATTCCCCTCTTTTGACACTCTGCGCTTGTGAACGTGGAGCCTTTATCAGAGGAAATCATTCCTATAGCAACAGGCAGCCCAGCATTCGCAATATTAGTACCTCAGGTTAGTGTTCTTGTTTCCAGGGGTGCTGAGCTACCTGCAGCTCCACGGATCTCAGCAACACTGAAAATCAGGGTGCTCATTTAGATGTCCAACTTTTCTGCACCCAGGTTTGGAAATGATGGCTTTAGCCCAATCTCACTGTTAACAAACTTGGGACTGAAACTTTCTCTACATGAATATTCATGCTGAACTCTGATTCTCTTGTAGTTGAACAGATTAACTTTCCAAAGAGCATGTATCGGTGGAGTCACTCATTTCCTGTGTCCAGAGATTTACCTTTTTAAAATAAAAACCTTGCAGTGTTTGAAATGGAGTTAGAGTAACTCAAAAGGTTCGTTTTGTAAAGACACTTTACTGTGTCCTTACTGGACTGTAGCTGCTTTGTATAGTACCATGCCTGTATTTGTTGAATGATGAAAAGCCTACTTGTTAAGCATAAAAAGAATGGACTATGAATGATACACACATGCTCATGCACACAGTGGTGCATTTATTGTTTGCTTAATTTATGCAGTACTGGCAGGTTGCTGATAACTGTATCTCTGACTAATGAAAGATAACAAACTTTAATTGGGAAATAGGTCCATGTTTGTTTCTGCCTCCTATCAATTGTGTCTATGATGACAGGGTACAAAGGAGATAATGTCTCTTCACCATCCATTTATAGCTGGGTTACAGAATAGAAGTGATAAAATTGCCAATGATGAACATAGACTGAACATCCTGCCAGACCATCTTAATGACCTACCTAGAGATTGATTCCTGCAGCGCTCGCTCTACAAGGAGACTACGTCCATTTGG